CGCAGCCGCAGTCTTGTCCGACTTCTTTCCTGCTAAGACAAGAGCAGGAATGTGCAGCGTTAGCACGGGTGAGTGGTTAAGGTGCAGTGAGCAGTGCCTGGTGTGGTGGGTGAACATCAGCACCAGAGGGGACACAAGAAGCTGGCCACGGCTAAGATGAAGAGTCCATTAATGTCAGCCGTTTATTGTTCATGAGAGAACTGGATTTAAATGTATACAGCTAAACACAGCAAACATTGCAGTGTTAACACAACAATGAAGTGGGGCCAGCCACACCAACTCCTACGGTGCCGTGTTATGGGGGAATTACAGGAGAAAGGTAAAATTTAATTTAATAACATTTGGACAAGTTCGGCTGGCCGGATTAAAAGTCCCAACGTGCCGTATACAGCCCGGGGGCCGTACTTTGCCCATGTCTGGTAAATACTGTTGTGTCGCAGGATGTAATAACTGGATGGAGACGTGCGAGATGGAGACGACTTGGGGAGGCCTTCATCCAGCAGTGGATTGACCATGGCTGATGATGCCAGTACAACAAAGACACCCCGTATAGCCTTAACAGACTAATGGGACGTGCTGTTAAGCGATCATCTATGAACGCGGGCACGGTACACGAGGGGGTGGGTGGCCAGCACCACGCTCGACCGCCTTTGTCTCCCCTGTGGCGATGTTTACACACCGCACCAGGTGCTCATTTGAGGCTGAGTCGACCTTGGGGAGGAGGCCCAGGACCGGTTCAGATAATCACTGCCGGTGTTGGTGGCCGTGAGCGGGAATCGAACTCGGGTCGCCGGGTTCGTAGCGCAGCGCCGCTGACCGCTCCCCACTATAGTATAGAGTTATGTCTACATACATGTACTGGATACACGTGTACATCCAATAAGGCGTACACGATAACACACACACACAGCGCTTCACACATTGGTAACAGAAGATATGGCTCCCCATCTTCACAAACCGGCATCGACCAGCGCGGTGAAGTATGGTCAAAACGGCTCTCTCCTCCCCAACGACTCACACCGGCATGCGAACCCTCCACACCCCCACCCCTATCCAGCAGTGAGTTCACAAACAATCTGTACATTGCACAGGACTCTGCAGTGTAAACAAGGCGGCGTGTTTGGAATAACAATACAGTACTGTACAGTGCATGACAACACTGAGAGCGCACGCAGCACATCGCCGCAATCCGTCTACAACGGTAAGAGCGTGTTGATAATGTGAATAATATACGATAGTAACGTGATTGACGACAACAATAATAATGTTGATAATCGCGATCGATATTCTCACCGCGTCTGCCTCTCACCCTCGTGCCGCGTCTCAAGATGTCACGGCCCACGGCTCACTGCGCATGCGCGGCCCTATCACCCCCACCCCAAAACCCCCACAACCCCCACCCGCACCCCACAACCCCCACCCCACTACCCCACAACCCCCACCCGCACCCCACAACCCCCACCCCACTACCCCCACAACCCCCACCCGCACCCCACTACCCCCACCCCACTACCCGCACCCCACAACCCCCACCCCACAACCCCTACCCCACAACCCCCACAACCCCCACCCCCACCCCACAACCCCCACCCCACTACCCCCACAACCCCCACCCGCAACCCACTACCCCCACCCCACAACCCCCACAACCCCCACCCCACAACCCCCACCCCACTACCCCCACAACCCCCACCCCACAACCCCCACAACCCCCACCCGCACCCCACTACCCCCACCCCACTACCCCCACAACCCCCACCCGCACCCCACTACCCCCACCCCACAACCCCCACCCGCACCCCACTACCCCCACCCCACTACCCCCACAACCCCCACCCGCACCCCACTACCCCCACCCCACAACCCCCCCCCCCCCCCCCGCAATTCAATGATATTTTAATTGGCTATTTTCACTTTTACTGGCAATAGAACAGTTGTGTTAAGGGGCCGTTCATAAATGACGTCACACACCTGGGGGGGGGTCAGACATTTGTGACGATGTGTGACGAGGGGGGGGGGGGTGAGAAATGTGACGTCACATCAAAATGCGCAACTTTAAATAAATATAGACAACACGTTCTACTTATATTCTTGGTTCTTTCGGTAAAGTCACGTAGAAGGGAAACAATAAAACAATACAATTATCACGACGTTTCGACTGCAGCACAAGCAATCATCATCAGGTGTGAAAACTACACCTGATGATGTGACTTTACCGAAATAACCAAGAATATCAATCCCTGCAGTCACGTTCTACTTAATTAAATCGACTTTTTAATCAATGTTTTCTTCCCTTCAACATCAGAGTGCAGCGCCACATTAAATACGCACTACAATGGCAATAGTTTAAAGCGATTTGAAGCATGTTTTATTTTTTGGGGGGTGGGCAGAGCTTTGTGACGTCATATTTGAGGGGGGGGTCTGACTTTTTGTGACGCCGTGTGACGAGGGGGGGGGGTCAAAAATCGCGTGACGTCATTTATGGACGGCCCCTAAGATTGTCATACCGTGTCAATCCATACGGTTCACACACCGTGTTCTTGTGCAGGGAAATTGAGTTTTCAGGTACATGCGGCATACAGCCGTTTCAATAGGGCAACAGCATTCTTTAGTCTGTTTTTTTTTGTTCAGTCTGTTTGTGTTTCTCCCTTGTGATGGAACTTTGTAGGATGAACGTTGAGATTTAAAAGGGCACGGAGTTAACCAATAAGGTGGGCACTGATCAGGGGTTGACAGGTATGGATTTGTCAAACGCCAAATAGAGAACTTATTTTTTGCAAGGCATCGAGTCTGCATTAACCACACGGTACTTGTTGGGGGGGGGGGAGGGGGGTGGGGAAGAAAAACACATGCAAACAAAGGTGCTCTGATAATATATATTAAAAAAAATATTTAAAAAAAACCCACTTCGCTGAGCTATTACCATTCGTGGCAAGGTCGCTTCTGAAAACAAATCCATACAGCTCCGTGTGCCCTTAGCTGTGTAGTGTGGCACAAGTCGGAGACGAGGCTGTTGCAAGGAGGCCCCGTTAGTCATTGCACCCTTGCCGGGCGTTCACAGCCAACAGGATCGCCTCCTCTCTCGCTCAACGTTGCCCTACAGCCCGGCAGAGGCACAACCGACGGCGTCGACCGAGACAGCCAACGACCGGTAAAGTCACGTAGATAAAAAAAAATAATGGAAAAGAATAAAAGTAACCCAAAAAAACACCCACGACGTTTCGATCGCAACACAAGCGGTCTTCGTCAGACAGAGGGGAAAGAGGGGGCGGGGGGGGGCAAGCCTCCAAATGCAACTGCTTATAAGTCCACTCCCAGAACCGCTGCTTTTATTTGACTCGGCGCCTCCCTTCTCGAACCCACCAGCGGGTTCCAGGGCCCTCCCGTTGAGGTCTTCCGTGACCCCCTTGTCCCAGTTCCTCCGCCCTGCACACACACAGACACACACACGCGCCCCGTGTAATGTGCTCCACGGCGTGTGTGAGTGCGAGAAGTGTCCACCGCAGTTGCCGCTGCTGGACAGCAGTCGGCGATGCGTCACTACATCTGCTTAAATTAAACGTAGTCTATCCCTCTATTCAAGGAACTAAACAGGATGATTTCTCCACAAATCTGGCTGTTCGCCTGATGATGCTAGTTGTAATTACTGGCGAAACGTCGTACGCAGATTGTAAATGTTGTGAATATGCTCTCCAACAAAGCGGTGTGCTGAACTAGTATGGAATTTGCACGTTCTGTTTACGCGACAAACCTTACTAGTTGGTTATGTTGGGCGGTGGCGGGTTTAACGACGCATTAATATTTACGCGATCCAACTCCAAAAAAAAACTATTATGGATAATATTGGTCGCGAAAGCCTACGCGTTAAACAAAACGTAGTTTCGTTTACATAAACGTTGTCTTTTAAACTGATTGGCCTAAATCTGAGACAGCCTTCTTTGTGGCTGTGTCTGCATTATATACTGGCAAAAAAGTCCCATAGTTATAACTGCTCAACCCGAGCTACAATCTGATACTTGCATTGTCTTTGTTACTGTTCGTCTTTTGGCGTTCTCCGTTCTTCACACTGGTGGGGCAGGGCCATAAATAAAGCTGTGTCTGGTGTCGGCCAATTTCTGAAATGTTTTTTTTATCTCTCATGAAAGCATAGATGGTGTTACAAGGACTTAGGGGCCGTCCATAAATGACGTCACGCATCTGGGGGGGGGGGGGGTCAGACATTTGTGACGATGTGTGACGAGAGGTGGGGGGGTGAGAAATGTGACGTCACATCAAAATGCGCAACTTTAAATATAGACCACGTTCTACTGAATTAAATATTATGTTTAATGTTTTCTCCTACAACATCAGAGTGCAGCGCCACATTAAATACGCACTACAATGACAATAGTTTAAAGCGATTTGAAGCATGTTTTATTTTCAAAATGGAAATATGTTTTTTTTTGGGGGGGGGGGCAGAGCTTTGTGACGTCATATTTGAGGGAGGGTCTGACTTTTTGTGACGCCGTGTGACGAGGGGGGGGGGGTCAAAAATCGTCAAAAATCGCGTGACGTCATTTATGGACGGCCCCTAAACTATTACATTTAAAAGGAATTGACGGGTCCACCTGAAGTGAGGTATGGCATCCAAAGGGAACTACATTGCTTTGCTAATACGCTCTACGAATTATATGAGGAACGTGGACGTTCAGCTGAAATGCTTTGTGAAATGCAATCACGGCTGCGTTGTCGCGCTTAAAGCTATTTATGACAAGTGCTTCAAGAGCACTTCGAGGTATCGCCCAAGCGCTCTAGGAAATCTGATACAGGTTGGGCGGGCGTGCTTAAGCGTTGCACGTAATCTAAAGGGAACTACGAGTTACGACTCAAGCGCTCTATGAAATCTAATAACGGTTGGGCGGGCTTGCTTAACCGTTGCACGTAATCTAAAGGGAACTACGAGTTATGACTCAAGCGCTCTAGGAAATATAATAACGGTTTGTTGGGAGTGCTTAAGCGGTGTACGTAATCTAAAGGGAACTGTGTGCTTTTGCTCAAGCGCTCTATGAAATCTAATACAGGTTGGAAGTGCGTGCTTAAGCGTTGTACGTAATATAAACGGTGTGATCCTATCATAACTGCTCCTCTGCTGGGGACGCTTCGGGCAGAGGGCGTGGGCAGACCGTATCGGTATTCGTACAAAGAATTCGGCACAAAATATTTAAATAAACACACACACACATAGAGGAGAGGAAATAAAGCCAGGGCTAAGATAGTCGAGGCAAAGTAACCTTTAAGGTAAGTTGCAATGCGAGTGCGCGCGTGTTAATTTGGAGTAAGCTGATGATGATAACCCTTAACTGACTGATACATTGTAGAATGTTAACGAGTTCCAGAGCATACTTTGGTTAACATTACACTTCCTTATTACTGTACGTTCGAATGTGATAAGTTGGAACTTGTTGGCAGCTAGCTACTGCCTAATACTTGTATAAAAAAAAATCTTAATTGAAATATGTAGCGGCAATTATTTCAGTGGCGAAATCTTTTGATGCTGATCGCTGCATTACGGTGGAGCGGTAGCGCAGTGGTTAACGCATTGGCTGGGTGTCAGTCTTGCCACCCGAGTTCGATTTCCCTGTGTCTTCTAAACCGGTTCTCAAGGCCTCCTCGCCCTTCTCCAACCAGCACTCACCGTTGTGGTGAAGTATGGTCAAACGACTCGTGTGCCCAAAAGGCAGGGGAGAGGCCTTCATCCAGCAGTGGATTGATAAAGGGATACCCGTGTATTATAATATTGTCCAAACTCGTGCACTCATACGGCGCACACGCATGTTTACACACAAATACATTACTCTAAATTGATGGATGATGTAACCCCTTTATCGATCCACTGCTGGATGACGACATCCCCACCATGTGTTGGTCATGATTGACCATTCCTCACCATGCTGGTCAGTGTGAGTGGAGATAGACGTGTGGTTCTCTCTGATATTTTATCTATCTTCTAAAGCCAGTAACGACGTGTGCCTTGGGAGCTAACGTTACAATATTAACGAATTATATTTTATTAGTGTACAACATGCGATCGAATATAACGGGCGCTGTTTCTCTTTGTCCACGTTGGGGGGGTGTTGAGATTTAGGTGGACTCTCACAGCAGAGGCCAATGTGTGTTGTGCCTCTATGCTTGTGGTGAACAATGTGACACGCTTCTTGACTGACGCATCAGCAGGAGGAGCAAGGATGTGGAAATCTGCCACAGGGCACAAAGTGTCCGCAGCCAAGGTGGAAGAGACAGGGGCGGATGACTGGGAGACTGACCCTGACTTTGAGGTTTGATTTGCCCCTGACATCTCATTGTGTGCATGTGCATCAAGCCCCTTTGTCCGTCAATTCACTGCTGTACGAGGGGTCCCGTGGGGGGTTATTTGAGCATACTTCACCACGCTGGTCATTGCGGATTGGTGTGTGTACGTTGAACTGCTTTCGTGCCGTACGTAGCCCGCTGGGCTAATCGGAGGTGAAAATGAGTTGCGTAGACGTTGGAGCATATACTGCATTGAAATCGTGTGTTATTTTGCTGCCCAGAAATTTTGGTGACAATGTAACCCTCCCTGCAGCAGCCCATAACACTTGTTTTATGTGTGGAGCTCACCTAAGTACGATCCAGGCTCAAATCTGCGTAGTAGTGTCTGAGATCTGATGCCCTGCCTTGGATAAAATTACCCTCGATGCACCCAATCTCTCATTTGCCCATTACCTAAATTAATTACATAAAATAACGATGCACTTTATTTACCGCTGAGCCTCATTACTAATTTTCAGGAGGTTTCTGCATTTTACATGTGGAAAGAAACACAGAGTACCCACCACACATATTTGTGGGCTTGACACTTCAAGCTCCGCACGAATGGAATCTAGAAACGATTTGCTCTTCTGGCATCTGACCAACTTGCGGCCAAGTGGGTTTGGGAGTTTCACGAATCTAACTGATCCACAACTCTTCTATTCAAAGTCCAAATTGAGCCTTTTTCACATGTAGTCACAGGCGACTGCATGAATATGAGTTATATTTATGGATAGCAGCCTTCACAATGCCAAAAAGAGAAGTTTAACGTAGTACCCATACTGTATATGCAAATATATAGTCTACAGCAAAGAAATGTATGGTCCTATACATACATACATGCATACTTCCCACTAATTTAATAACATGACCTTTCATATTCTTGGTTCTTTCGGTAAAGTCACGTAGAAGGGAAACAATAAAATAATAAAAATATAAAACAATAAAATACTCACGACGTTTCGACGTTAAAAAGACCGCCACATTTTTCAATTTTTTTCTTGCTGTGGTTTTCACACCTGATGATGATTGCTTGTGTTGCAGTTGAAACGTTGTGATAATTTTATTGTTTTATATTTTTATTATTTTATTGTTTCCCTTCTACGTTACTTTACCGAAAGAACCAAGAATATGAATCCCTGCAGTCACAAAAGCTTTAAATCAAAATGTATGGCCTTTCATGATAAATCATAACCTCCCACTGTTAACATGTATACACCGAGCCTGCTGTACCTCGTCAATAATGCTACAACCATTGTTGATTTAAAACGTATCGAACCACTTCTCACCTTATAAATGAATACTTCCAGCTTTCTCAATCTATTATACTTCAAAAATATTGTTCAAATGACAGCTCCATGCACGCATCATTGTTTCTTTTTTGCAAGAGACTATCAAGTTCATATTTAAGCATCATTGTGTCGTTTTATTCCTTGCACAACTAACGTCAAAAGTATTAATGCATTAGCTCGTTCTGTAATAGGGGACTCACAATAACCCTGTGTAGATGAGTTTTTGTATTCAGCTGTGTTGCCATTTGGGACTTAATAGAAAACCAGCCAAATTAATCGAAGGGTTGCCCAAAACTTTGGCGAAATTACATCATTACGCATGACACCAATTTGTTTTGAAGCTATTATCGCTCATTAAATACTTCCGAGGACAAATCCGTGCTGGAAAACGTGACATGATCCATACGTAAATATGATTATTTGGTTTTGACTTATTATTTTTTTTACGTTATGTGAGCACTATGGAGAGGAGGAGGAGAAGGATGATGATGCTTATGAATGTGACGATGGGGGCGTAGAACGATGTTACAGAAAAGGAACAGCGCTGGGGAGCTAAGACCGTGGAGGGATCTGGACGTCAAGGACACATCAGGTGATTGAAGACCAAACATTACAACACCTTGTGTTTCTCACGTCATGAGATAGCTGCTTGCATAACCCCAAATGTATCTAGAAGTTTGAAAAGCCCCCAGGAGTGGATTAATCCCGTACCGTATTTAGTTGAAAAAATCAGCTTATTGTTTAAAATGCAACACGTAAATATTGTTTAGAATCCAGTGGAAGTTCCTGAGGCCCAAAAGCATCACACTGAAACATATAACATCATAACATCATACATGATACAAACACATAAAAAAAGATCAAATTACTATTGCATAAGCTTCTGTAGTTGTTTGTCTTCCTCTTCACGGTGTTTTCATGGTATAACCCAACAAACATACTGCAGAGATATGCAGTTCAAAATATTATAATCTTCAATTGTGTTTGATTATGTGTGTAAACTTGACCTGTTAACTATATGATGGATAACAGCTCTTAACAAGTAATACAAATCCCATTAGTAACAGTAGAGTATGCTAATCACAACACCACATACAGAAGTCTACATACATGTGGTTCTTCAAATTATGAAATAGTTTTTTTTTAAAACGGCGAAACATGGAACCACTTCGAGGAAGCTGCACATGAGGTCTCTGCCAACTGTTTCCTGTGGCAGGATGCCGGCACCATGTGACGATCAGTCTCTTCCTGTTGTGAAAGGTTTGCTCCATGTGCAGATTTGTGTACCACTCACGACAAATACGGTGTCCTTGCGGGAGTAATTGGTATCGTCCAGAGGATAGAAGTCAAGGATGTGCATCGTGGCTGTGAGCCAGAAGGATTGGTAACGCATTCGTATTTTATGAGGGATATGAGGTGACAGAGGAATTGGCAGCCTTTGACAAAATAACCCGGAATCCACCCAGTCTTGTCAGAGCCAAGCAGGAAATAGCCTGGATTGTACTTGAATAGTACTTGAATAGTTGAACAGGTTGTCATCGGTGGCTCTGCTTCATGGTAGTCAGCAGAGGGCAATGCAGCAAAAAAATGTACTGTATGTTGTACGATACTACTTAATTCCCATTTCTAGCTGTCTGCTTTCACCAACCCAAATTATGGTTTTCTCAGGATTATCAGAATCTAGTAGAAATGCCTCAGGCCCAACGAGCCAACCTGAGGCATCCAAAATATCTATAGTGTGCATATATATGAGACATTGAAACGTCATACACGACACAAAACCCACAAAAACTAACCTTACGACTAGGGTTGCCACCTTTGAGGCACAATACCAGGACATATCATTGGAAGAAGAATATCCCAATACTGGAAGAGAGGAGAACTACACATAAATGCATTGTTTTGGATGGTGTAGACTGATGAAAAAAATAAACTTTTAGTGTTCAGGGAAAACCTACAGATTTTGCCTCAAAAGAGGATGATCCTGGAAAACTTGGAGGACAGGTGGCAACCCCTGCCTATGAACTGCACAGCATGGAAGGCCGTAATTCCTTCAGTGGTTTGGCAAAAGGGTGATATACATGAACTGTTGCTGCATTCTTTATTGCCACAGCTTGGACAAGCTCCGTGAAAATGTGTCCAAGGATCACCAGGCCATCAAAGTGAGCGAGCAGAAGGCCGGACCCAAGGCGTCGCACGGCTACGGTGGAAAGTTCGGTGTGGAGCGTGACCGCATGGACAAGGTACGACGAGTGGCCGCCACAGTAAATGAGCGGTCCATGCTGCAAATCTCACAACAGTCTCATCTCACCCGCCACGGATGTGGTGACTGTATTACTAATCTGGCTATAGAAGCGTCTCATGAAGCTTGGCTTTCTTTTCCATTCCCAAAGCCTTCTTTGACCCCAAACAATTGTTCCTACTGATACAAATTCGGTCAAATTTGGAGTCCTGTTGTCACGCAGTTTATACCTCGCTGCACTGGAAAGAATTGATTGTCAAGCCGCCAAGTTGATTGATGATCCACCACTTGTTAATCAAGCTACTACCATGGTTACTATTCCCATACATTTCATTCATTGATTTCAACACCCATATTCTTGGTTCTTTCGGTAAAGTCACGTTGAAGGGAAACAATAAAATAATAAAATATATTTATAATTTTATTGTTTCCCTTCAACGTGACTTTACCGAAAGAACCAAGAATATGAATCACTCTAGTCACGAAAGCTTTAAATCAAAATTCAACACCCATGTTGGACTCAGTCTACCAGACTGACTTGTCTAATCCACCCACACTGAATTGAACCACCACATTTCAGGAAAAAATAAAAACACTTCTCTTTTTGCTTCTTTCCTCAACTTTGGAATTCCCTCCCATTGTCTCTTTTCCCAAGTCCTTCCAACATTGCTCAATTAAGGAAATGCATGGACACTGTCACTATTAAACATTCATGAGTGCTGTTTGTTTCAACATGTGCACCTGCACAAGATTGACCAGGTCAGGGGGATTCCTGAATCTAAGCAGTGGGGTGAAGGTGGTGCTGCAGTGAACGAGTCGAGATGCGTGTCGTGTGACTGACGTTACCCAGTTATTCTGACTAACGTTACACGCAATGGATGCGCCATCCCTACCCCCGGACCTGCTTGGCCCTGAGCCAATTCAGATGTCTTGTGAGAAACAGTGTTGCAAAGGTTGATTCTAAAAGGTTGGTTCTAGCATAAATAGCCAGTTGACGAGCATTCGTACCATGAGGGCCTTGCGTTTGCTCAGCTTGGACATGCCAGTGGAAATTGGGTATTAATGGCAAGCAAAAGTAGTTCCCTTACTCTCTGATGAGCTTATCATTTACATAGGGTGTTCAAATTGGGTTCGAGGTAGTGTGTGTACCTGTGTAACCCACAGTCGGCCGTGGACCACACCTACATGGCTGAAACCACGAAGCATGCCTCCCAGACCGACGCCGCCAAGGGGTTCGGAGGCAAGTTCGGCGTCCAGACGGATCGTATCGACAAGGTGAGGCCACTCACACGCTCAACTACAGGGGCCGGTTAGCGCTATGGGGTTACGTTGCGCCAACGAAAGCCGAGCCTGTTCGGTGAAGAGTGATTTTGCCTATGGAGCACACAACCTTGATTAGTTACGTGACCTCTGTAAACTGTTTGGAAGTTGCCATCCCAGTTAGACCTTGAGTAATGAGATTTGTCCATATTTGGACGACGATTTTTGTATGAGCAAGCGGTGCGGCAACAATTTATCGGTGACCTTGTCAGCAACAAACTCCCCAAATTGCGTTTATGTATTATGGCCACTATACCACCTTTTTGCAAGCATGCTAACCACTACGCTCTCTGGCTGTTCACAAAAAAACATTTGTGAATGTTAAAAATGTGCGCACATGTTTCTACCGATTTAACTGAAGCCATCATCATCACCATCATCTGTCATGACCATCACCACTAGCACCATCCCAGCTAAACGTCAATAATAGTTGTCCTCAAGATCTCTTGCTGCCGGTCATAGGAACATGGAATTTCCTTCCATTGGTCAGGACCCCCCCAACAGAGATAGCCACCATCCACTGCTCTTTATAGCATAGAGACATTGTGACTTGATTATCTCAGTTGCACTGAAGTGCACCGTAAAAATGAGAAACACTCTCTGACCAACGTGAATAATGATGGTTTGTCTTGCAGTCTGCCGAGCGGTTTGATTATAAAGCAGCAGCGGCGGCGCACTCTTCGCAAAAAGGTTAATATTGGTAGATAAAGCTTGTGTTCTGGAACTCGTCAAAGGGTGTCTGCTGTAGCTGTCTTGGCTGTCTCTGGGGCTTGTTGTTGTCGTTGCTGGGCCATGGTTGCTTTGTCCAGCGCTGTGCCGCGGTGTTGCTCTGTCTCCCCTCTCTCACATTTCCCCATCCTGAGCAACACCCCCACCCACCACCACCCTTCAACCCAAAGGTGGCTTCAAATTTCTGTAGAGCATCTTGAGGTGCGATCACATTTTGACGCAATATAACTTGAAATCGTTATTTTTAATGCCTACATGAAACACATCTGAGGGCTGGTTATTGTGGGATTTCAGCAAAAGGACTGTACTGCATCTCACATGTGTAATGAGCTGCCTCAAGAAAGCAGCTGCATCGAGAAAGCAGCGAAAAAGTTGGGCTTTGTAACAAGACTAATGCCTTAAGGTAAAATACATTCCATTTAATCCGATGAAACTGCATTACAAACGATACACCATGAGACGCACTGCACTAAAGCCAATTCGCTGCTAGGATACAAACAATCGAAGTCGTGTCTCGGGGCTGTTCCCTGACACCAGGTGGTTACACTTCTTGCTGCAAGAGTTCACAATGCAAATGTATTTAAAACGCAAAGCAGGTGCGACGTGACGGGAAATGGTGGGCGCGTTGCATCTTGACAGCAGTTCTTATTTTCTTCAATTCCGCGGTGTTCGTGACTATCGGGGCACGACTTCCGCTGCCCTTGCTTCCTCATTCCGTTGCTGCTTGCGAGCTCTATTACTGCACCTCTATTGCTTCTCCAATTGTCTTCACTCCTTGGCCCGCTCTTCGATGTCGTTTGCCCAGCTGATGCACATTTCTGAGTTCTTCTTCTCATCCTTCCAGCAGCTTGCAGTTAGCCTGCCACCGGTCACAGCGTTTTTCATGTTTATGATGTCACGGTTTTTGACCCTTTATTATTTCTAAGGTTCTATTTCCATGTTTACAGTCACACTGGCCAGAACTTCCTTGTTTGTAACAGCGTCTTTGTACGAAATCCTGAAAATCCCTTCTAAAAGCTTTCATCTCAAATGCCATGATCCATTTGTCCTATGCGGCTAATGTCCTAGTATCATAGCCATACGTAGTTACGAATTTGACCAGCTGGCTGCTGTTTCTTTTTCTAGTGCCTTGGCATTCTTGGGCCATTAGGGCATGACCACTTCCTTCACACATATTTCTTTGCAGTGGTCTTTCCATTTCTCTCTGTCGCTGCATCCTTCAACTAAGATAGCTTCCATCCCGTCCGATGTTTGGCTGTGAGACAAACGCTGAATGCACTCGGATGGTGCGTAATGTGCACCGTGTGTTGTCGCGTCCCACACACAGACTGCGCCCATGGTTTCGGTGGCAAGTTCGGTGTGCAGCGAGACCGCATGGACACCGCGGCCCTGGGCTGGGACCACAAGGAGGCTGCGTCCACGCATGAGTCCCAGACCGGTAACCACCTGGTGGGAAGTCACGTGTGGGTGTCTTGTGGAGAGTCTCGTCCTTGCCAGAAATAATAACAATGCCCTTTATCCTGGAAGGCTTCGATGGGTGTCTAGACTCCTTATTTCAGGATGGTCCTAAGTTGGGATGTTTGGCCAATTCCTTTAATGGGTGTTTGGCTTCATGTGGAAGAGAAGTGGAATACCTGGAGAAAAGGCAACTGTGCATAAGAGGTGATTACACTCACAGCTCTTCACAGATTAATTCAGTCCTTTGCTGCACTGCCATATCATGGCCACCTCTTTACCTGTATAAAAAAAAAAACTGGTATTTCCAGATAGCCCCGCATCTTAGCACTAACCCAGGCTCAAATCCAGATTATCTTCGAGATATGACAAGATTGGGTACATTCAGGGTGAATTGACCATCGACTAAAGAATGTGAAATTACTATCACTGTTTCATGACCTCCAGTGGAAATGAGCACTGGACCATTGGTTATTTGAGAATGTTTAACGGTAAGAACTTTTTATTCTTAGTTTTTCGGTAAAGTCACGTTGAAGAGAAACAACAAAATAATAATATATATATAAAACAATAAGAAAATATATAAAACAATAAGATTTTTTTATTGTTTTATATATATATTATTATTTTGTTGTTTCTCTTCAACGTGACTTTACCGAAAAAACTAAGAATAGGAATTACTGCAGTCACGAAAGCTTTAAATCAAAAGGTAAGAACTTTATTGCATAGGTTTGACTATCTCAAACCTGATTTTGATATTGTGATGAATTGTCGTGTGCAGACCATGCCAAGGGATTTGGAGGAAAGTTTTGGAGTCCAGACCGACAGGGGTGGATACGGTAAGCAGCATTGTGCACCGTACAGATCGGACCCTAGCTCTATGTTATTTTTTCCAAGCAGAACATTGTAGATGTTTTAACCGCAGAAGTGTTCTATGTTTTCTTTCGGTACAAATCGACAACACATCTATGTTTCGATTGAAAGCTTTTGTGACTGCAGGGATTCATATTCTTGGTTCTTTCGGTAAAGTCACGTAGAAGGGAAATAATAAAATAATACAAATAAAACAATACAATTCTCACGACGTTTCACATCTATGTTTAAGTTAGCTGTAGAAGTGAGCGCACTTTTGTGCAACTTTAATCTTACTTTAAACTGGGCAATTTTTGTGGCTTCTGTAAGTTTGTGAAATTCAAGGGGCTATCATTAAATAAAACATTCAATAATGGCTAGGGGTGACACAATTTGCCCCCCAGAAATCAGGTGAATTGTATTTATGTTTAACTTCTTTCGCACCATACGTAGCCAACCGTGCTAATCGGAGGTGCGAATTGTCACAATCCAGTGTTGCAATTTGTTTTAAAATATTTTTTTCTTGCGGTGAATGGTAGCACCTCCGTTGGTAGCAGCTGTTACGTGAACTCATTTCATGCAACGCATGCAGCATTTTGTCAAATGTTCCTTGTGCACATGCGATTGGGTGAGCGCATCACTTAAGCTGATTAATCGACTTCAATCAGTGAATCATTCCACGCCGAAGAACTGGCGGCATCTTTCTCATTTCAGTCAGCGGCCTCCTTCCAGGACATGGAGGGACCAAAGACCAACTACCAGAAGACCAGGCCCGTGGAAGCAGGTAACGTGTGTGCGGGCTGTTGCAAGCGGTCTTCTGTAGAGCCGATTGTTGGCCACGTTTTCACGTCGACGTTTGCCATTAAGTGGTGTTTATAATTCGGCCCCATGAGCAAACTGAGTGTTAGCAACTGCTACTCGCCGACGCTGAACATTTTATTATCAATTTATGATCAATGTAATCATTGGCGTCGTTGTGGCGAATGTGAGTAACAAATTAAATAAGCAAAGCAATTTGGCTCCTCCATTGATCTCTGCCTCCACGTAAAAAATAAAAGTATTTTTGCCACTTGCCGTCAACCACACCAAGGCCTTCTGGGAGTGAATAATTTCAGCAGCACTGGTTCATTACAAGCAAACGCTGAACCGGCTTCGACTCAGTGCCTCATTGGCAGAGTCTTATCATGTAGTGTGGGTGTTTTGTATACTTTGTACTGCACAAATTGTATGCTTGGCTTGAGTGATGCTCTCTGCTGATTAACTTCCCATCTTATCTCCCTCGTTCATTAGCTGTTAGGGAGTGCATTCTCCTCGTTTTAATTGTTATTGATTCAAGTTTTGTATCTGCTTCTGCATGCCACATCTAAATGAGCCCTGGTCCTTGTATGAGCGCTTGCCATTGTGCATTAAGACATGCACAATGCCTGCTCTTACTGTACCACTGAACAGCCAGCTGCGAACTTCTGCTACATGTGAGTCAGCTCTTAGCCAACAGAGTCCCTATTTGACCAAATATAAGATTCAAGAACTGAAATATTCTCCAATTGTTTTATTTCATCAACGACCGTGGATTTAAGGCCTGTAATGGATAAATTTATCACCATCATCTTCAGCCATGATTGATCCACTGCTGGATGAAGACCTCCCCAAGTCATCACCATCTCTCTTGGTCCCGCGATGTCACAATCAATCTTGCTTCTGCACATGATCGAACTCAATGCTCAATCTCCTAGGTGATTCATAACTTGGGCATAATCCCTCCTTCGGCTGCCATTCCACCATCGATTAAATTTGAATCTCATGTAAATGTGAGTACAAAGATGGTGTGTGCGAGAATCAGCTCTCAAAATGTATGCTAATTATATGCAACTTTTGACACAATCTTCCGTTTAGCCTCGTGGAGAAAACATAACTACATTAAGGAGACAAAAAACAATCACAACACGCAATACAAATGAGATGGTCAAAATAACCCTTTCTTGAACCAAAATTAGGACTCCAAATCATGAGAATGTATCAAATCAGCAGGGGAGTGAATCGTTACATGTGCATGCACAGCCCCTTTGTCAGTCCACTGCTGGATGAGGACTTTCCCACTTTGTGTGGGTCATAGGAGTTATCCGACGATACCTCACGACACTGGCATGTAAGTTGAACTTTTTTCGCACCGTACATAGCCAGCCGTGCTAATCGGAGGTGCGGGAGCGAAGGTCAAACAAATGAAGCACGAAAATCAGTTCTCAAAAAATTAGTGAGGTTCGCCGATAATGGAGAGCATGGATGTGGGAGCATAGAAAAAAAAGTACAACCTTGGTTTTTGATGCGCTGCCCTCTACCGCTCAAATACCTCGGGAATACACCTTGTCGGCTTGTCGTTTGGGGCTTAAATGTGCATCCTTTGACGTGTCACCTCCAAGCGAGCTCCGGTGCCCGGAACATCCGTGCCAAGTTTGAGAACCTCGGCAAGGCCAAGGAGGAGGAGGAGCAGAGACGAGCGCAGGAGGAACGGGAGAGACGCCGGGCCCGGGATCGCGAGGAGAGGGAGCAAGCCGCCCGGCAGCAGCAGCAGCAGCAGGTCAGAGCAGTACGCGTGTATGTACGTACGTTGAACTTCTTCCTGCTCGCCGTACGTAGCCAAGCGTGCTAATCGGGAGGTGCGGAGGAAAGGACAAGAGTGGTGGCAGCTGTCGAGTGCGCAGGCGGTGAAACTGCCCTGGGGCCCCACGGGCTGCTGGGGCCTTGGTGCCAAGGCTGCAAACGGGGACGGTGGGTGGGGGGGGGGGGGAAGGTGTTTTAGGAAAGACACATTTATCATTTATCTATCCTATTGTTATTGCCAATCACAGCGATACACTCTGCTGCCCCTGACGCGGTTATCTGGCTTGACCAGCCATACGAAAGAAGAAGATTTCCAATTAACTGTATTCAAATAAACTGCACTTTTTTGACGACGAAAGTGATTTGGTACCCTAGTAACCATTATCATGATCACCGTTGTTGATGCCCGACAGGCTGCTATAAAGGACGCTGAGCCGGTGGTTCCTGCGAAGGCGAGCGAGGCTGCGCGTTTCCATGTGCCTCACAGCAGCGTGAACGAGATGCGTGACAGCTACGGTCCGGAACCTCCTCAGCAAACGGAAACCTTGTACGAGATAGAACCCGGGTCGGAATTCAGCGACCCCCACCAGAACTTGCTTACGAGCCAGAACCTGCTTACGAGCCAGAACCTGCTTACGAGCCAGATCCAGCTTACGAGCCAGAACCTGCTTACGAGCCAGAACCTGCTTACGAGCCAGAACCTGCTTACGAGCCAGAACCTGCTTACGAGCTAGAACCTGCTTACGAGCCAGAACCAGCTTACGAGCTAGATTCAGCTTACGAGATAGTATCTGAGTACAAGACAGATCCTGCATACGAGACAGATCCCACTTACGAGCAGGATCCTGCCTACAACACCGTGGAGGAGATCCAGTTGCAGCAGCAGGAGGAAGGTACGTGCAGATGCACCATCGGGCCTAACACCTCATGAAGGGGTAGTGGTGGCGCAACGGTTAGGCCACTGTGCTACAAAGCCACTGACCTCAGCTCGATTATTCTGACAGCGGCTGATCTTGGGCCCTGCTGCCCCCAACACCTTCGCCATACCAGCGCTGATGGATGAAGGAAGGCTTGCCCAGGCCACGTTGGTCATGTTGGTTGTTTGGTAATACTTGACCATTTTTTAAAGTGCGTGTTGGTGAAGGTGGGCGGTGGTTTAGGACCAGTTCAGATGTCGCACGCCGCTTGATGGCTAGCCGTGGCAGGGAATCAAATTCAGGTCTCCGTCTTCGGAGTGAGGGGTACTAACCACTGATCCACCGCTCCAGTCTGTGGATAACCGCAGCCGCACGAACCGTTTATTTGGTGGCACTCGAATGGCGGTGCGCAAGCACAAATAACACACACACACAAAAACTCAACACGTCTCGTCAACACTGCGACTTTAAGTGGAAACAAAAATGATATGAGGCAATGTTTTGGACAGTGGTTCCAACTTCTGAGCACATGGTAAAAAAATGGTGCGGTGGTACAATTCATAGCACATTGTATGTCTATAACTCCCCCTCGTGTGCTACGATGAAGTGGCCATTGCCCGAGACGTCACCTATTGTATATTTTTCTTTCTTAAGGCCAGAGTGTTTTATTTACGAACGTGTTGATTTTCTTGTTGTTGACACGTGAAGTGTGAGTGTCCTGGAATTACAGAAAGTTGCACTTGGAATCTGTGTTCCATGTCCGTGCGGGATGCTGCATATTGCCTGTTCACACCTATTATGCGGGAGCCTCTTATGGTTGTTTTGCCAGACTACAAAATGAGACTTTCCCCTCGTCCCCCGCAGGTGCGACAGCTGTTGCCATCTACGACTACCAAGCAGGTGAGACGGACGCGACACGCAAGAGTTGCGCTTTTGCTATACTTTTCCAGTTTTTTTTTCTGTTCAAATTCAGAATTTTATTGGCGAAAACATTCCGTGCAAATGTGCACTGAAGGAATATTATTTATTATCATTATTAACCTCGCTTGCCAATGAGATGGGCATGTCATCCAGCACAATAGAAGCCAGGGTTGGTGGATCGATCGCGCGAATGTGTAAAACTCTTTAAATAAAAACCTACCGTGATGCAAAGTGGTCGATGAAAGTAGCACTCAAGATGCCCCTGCACTAGAAAAAACATCAGCTGGCCGGCTTTTCCACATCACGTTTTCTCTGCCGTGTCTTTTTGCAGTGTTTGCTCGTGAAAAGTAGTTAAGAGATGGCAATGCAGCAAATTGGCTCACGAACCCATTTTATGCACACCATTGAGTGCTATCACCTTGCTTGCTTGCTTGAGTTTTTTTCCCGACTACTCCGTTTTGCTCCCACATGCAAAATACAGCTTAGAAAGATTTGGCCCCATCGTACCAATGTGTAAGATCCCTCCTACTAATTCTGTCTTTCGTACAAAGCCGGCGACGATGAGATCTCCTTCGAACCGGACGACATCATCACCAACATCGAGTGTCTGGACGAGGGCTGGTGGCGTGGCGAGTGCAACGGTCAAGTCGGGATCTTCCCGGCGAACTACGTCGAGCTGCGGCAGTGATTCCCGGGGGGCGACGTCATCCTCTTTTCCACTCGCCACACCTGAGCCGGGCTGGGGTTGTCCTGAGCCAGCCCGGCACTGCTCAGGAGACACCGGGTGGTTTATCGACTGCAGAGCCCGAGCCATCGAGATGACGCGGTGACGCTAAACTAAACTAAACTAAACTATTTTTTTTATTTCACCAGGTAAGGCCCACTGAGCTATGTAGCTCTTTTTTTTCACAAGCGACCTGGCAACAAATGATAGCCCAGCAAAGTGGCTTATCACGTGGACATTTAAAGCAGCCAATACTCTAGAACGCACATTTCTAAATGCGGAGGGAAAAACCGGAGGATCCGGAGAAAAAATCTACACGAGCTCGGGGAGAGAGACACGCAAACTCCAAATATACAGGCGTCAGGGTCGGGATTGAACCCACGACCGCCTGTACACCGGGTGAGGCAGTAAACATGTCGCCACCGTGGCACCGGTGTGCTGACTTCACGGTGTGTTGACTGACATCACATCTGGATCTGGCCGCAATCCAGATCCAGATGTGAGGTATCTCGATTTTGGTTACAGCTTGGCACGGTAAATATCCGATGGAAAACCACCTGTACTCCGCCTCCCACCCCCCTACACTGGATCGGCTCTGATGTGCCAGTGAAACAGAGGTCAAATTAGAGGTAATAAATCATATTGGTGGGTGGGGTGGTGGGGGAGGAAATTAAAAAACTATATTTTTGTGGTGAAAGCAACATAGCAGTGTGTCTGAAGAGGATAGTTTATAATCCATGTACATTATTAGCTGCCATGAAATGGGGTCAGCAACGCGGAAATTCATAAAGGTGTTGGGAACAGAGGCTGAAAAGTGTGCAGCGAATATCAGGAAGAGGTGTACAGTCCGATAATGCTTTTGCAAACATTGATTTATAGCGTTTTTAAGCCAGGTGTGCTCTGAGGGATCTTCTGGAAATTTGCTGGAAATGTTAACAACTTGATAAAAGTCTACTGTACATAGTATAGACTTATTTTGCATACATTCGGACTCTATCACTTATCCACCATGATGATAACTGAAAGTCATCTTTTTAAACAATGTGTTATGGCTCTTTCCAAATGTTGCTTGTATTTTTGTGAAATAAAAAAAATGTAAAGCCAAATTAAGCGTGACGGTAAATCTTCACCTTCATTTTCAATATTGTCTTGTTGATGCAATTTAAATTCACGTGCATGTTTTTTTCCAATACGGAAGTCAGGGCAATTGCACACACGCCACGTTGGTTACCGCGAAAACATAGATCGTCATTTTATGGATATAATAATAATGGCTGCGCACAGTTGCACTGAACATCAAAACCTTCTGGATGATTGTGTCCACTGTGACTGTCCTCACACGTTCGTCACATTACCAGGTGCAGAGTTACATCTGCAACACATTCCTGCGGAGGGAGCTGGTAGGAACGTTGGGTTGCTCAGTCAATGGCCAGGGTCAACGGCGGCACCACGTGGTGTATTCCGCAAATATGCCCGACTGTGAGGGCGGGCACAAGCCGGCGTGAGTAGGTTTAAACGTTGAGTTTTATAAGGGCACCACGGGTGACCAGCCCCACCCGCCCCACCCCTCCCACCCTCACCCAGCCCCACCCAGCCCTCCCCACCAAGCCCCTCCCCACCCAGCCCCACCCCTCCCATTTTTGGATGCACGACGGACGGACGGACACAATAATCCCCTGCGGGCTGCTGTAACCAGGAGGTTCCAGTAAAACCTTCTGTATGCTTGTGTCCACTGTGACTGTCCTCACACGTTTGTCACATTACCAGGTGCAAGTTACATCTGCATTCATGTAATCGTACGCATTCTTTGTAAAAACAAAACTTGTGAGACTGTATTGGCAGTGGTGCACAAATGACAAACTCGTCAATCGCACTGCCCTGAAAGGAAAACTAAAGGGGAAGTTTAGAGCAAAAGCCTTTTTCAGTCATTGTGTCACATAGGGAATAAGGTCTCTCGCCAACGCGATGAAACGTCCGGCAACAGTCAGCAACGAAGGGTGGGTGAGCGATGGATGGGCGAGTGGGAGAATAGTCCAATCTCTAGACTCGCAGGTACATCCACGGGTACTGCAAGTGAACTCACTGGCACGGGGTTGTGTAGCCTCTGCGATTTTGTGTCGACGCCTCTTTACTTTGCAGGTTGCCGATGTGGGCTTCTTCCGAAGCTTTCACTCCCATTGCTGCAGATGTGCCACCCTTTGCCCCTCTCTGTCTTTCGCTACAGAGATGGAGCAATCGAATCTTATATTGTAGCTATGTTGAACTTCTTTCGCACTGTGCACAGCCAACCGTGCTAATCGGAGGTGCGGGAGACCAGGAAAGATGGCCTCAGCTTGAAAAGAGACCTTCATGCAGCAGTTGATAGATCACGGCTAGTGATGTTGAGTGGCGAAAGGTGAAAGCCACTGCCCAGTAAACTGGGAACGTTGGAGCAACCATTATAACCACATGCCAACGTTGGTTCAATGTTGCATGTTTACCCGGTGATGGAGAATGGTCTTTCTCTGTGGTCACCGTTATTAATGTCTAGCAGTCCGGAAAACTTTGTGTTGGGTGGCGCTGATGATGATGAATTCGTGCTTACACGCAATTATGCAGGATTGCAGTTTTTTGGTGATGCAGGGGCTAAGTTTGGTCATTTCTAAACAGCTAACGAGCACACACCTCCGTCAATCCGGTGACGTGGCCCAGCGGTAGCGCATTCGCCGCTCATTGCAGAGGTTGACGGTTTCGAACCTAGCGGCAACCCTGATTAATACCACTGGTGAATTGACCTTAATACTACTCGCCGTATGCTTCAAAGTGGACGTTCAAGATCCCGTGGCGTCATTCACAAGAGTAAGCCATTGTGTGCTGGTGTCAAGATCCAAATTTGAAAAATGATCCACAAATTACTCGATTGGAACCTGCACAGCAATCATCGCTCCCACTGCGCGAAAACGTGGCAGGAGCCCGCTGCAAAATAAGAGTCGCGATGCTTTCCTGGGTGAACATGCAGATGCCAAATCCTGCACGGGTCTCATTCATAGGCAGCCTCAACGGCTAAGAATAACAGAGATTTTCAGCACACAAAACCATTGTTGAGGATTTCAAAAAGTTATTCTTAAATGTAAGAAGATGTGCACAATTCAACTACTAAGTAAGGCAATTGCACTTTGCAATACTGTACACATAATTTCGATTTAAAGCTTTCGTGACTGCAAGGATTCATCTTCTTTGGTTCTTTCGGTAAAGTCACGTAGAATGAGAATAAAATAATAAAATTGATAAAATAAAATACACGAAAAATTCTCACGACGTTTCGGTGCCTTGTGTTGTGGCCGAAACGTCGTAGAATTTTATTGTGTTATTTTATTTGATCAATTTTATTATTTTATTCTCATTCTACGTGACTTTACCAAAGGAACCAAAGAAGACTGTACACATACTTTTTACATGCTCGATTGACGCTGTAAGTACCATGGCATTTGCAGCAGATGGCAGCACAACATACAACCCGGATCATAACATAACCCTACTGGCATGTTTGTGGTTCCAATTCAAACTTCCCAATTTTCTGACAAGGTCACGACACTTGTGCGTGTCATAATAGTCATGAGTCATGATCATTCCGCTGCTGGATGAAGGACTACCCAAACAGTCACCACGTATGTCCCACGTGGCAGATATATATTTTGAAATGTACAGCTTGTTATTGTTTTCAAATGTTTGGAGCCACGAAACTGCGTAGAGTGACCATGTTTAGAGAACGTTGATGTGGCAGCGATCGCCTCGTTTATTCGCGTGTTTATGAAGCACTTCGCTCACAAATAGCATTGTTTACAGCAGCCAGACAAATATTAGCATCTCTGTTATTGTGCAGAGAGTTTTTTTTTTCTTTCTTCCGTGAGGGTTGACATGTATCGTGTTGTGTGTGTGCATTTACCGGCCGGTATTGGGACAACGGTGCTGTTTACTCCACAGAGCAGCGGTTGGGAACCTGCGGCCACGTGGGCCAATAACGGGCCACAACTTAATATCCACGTGTAGCTTACCACTAGGAACCGAGATTTTACCCGTCACTGCGACCATCTTAGACGCACTCATCGGGTACGAGAGTGGAATATTTTTTTAACCTGAAGGTGGGCTTCCTTGCGGTGGCACGAGTAAGTGAGGTGTGTCCGTTGATGTGCGATTGCTTGCCAAATATATTTGACAGCCCTATTGAGCCCTGAGTAAGGACAAGGTTTCCCAACCCCTGGCTGAAATGCACAAGAGTTTATAGTAGCGGTACAACGATTCATTCCTCACTCCATCCCCAACGATACTAAACGTTGTTGCAACTGAAGGTCACGATTCTGTTCAATAATTAATCAATGTTTAATGTTGCATTGAACGGTAACGCCTCTAATGGCTGATGGGCCACGGTACATGTGTATGACTACGAAAAGCAATATATTGCTTCTTAAACACGTGGTTTGATGCATGTGTCCAGAGCATAGGAATCGATATTAAGCCACGAATTAATTCATTGTTACACACCTGCTAATCACACGTGCGCAGCGCAAAATTAAAATAAGAATAATAAAAAAAATAAGCATTTCGTTTGCCAATCTTGACCACAGAAATACAGATGTTAACATTGGTATTGATAAGTCTTGTGATGCGTTTCGTAGCAATTGGATAAAGGGGATTTGCAATTGTAACAAAAAATTAAAGTGTCCCTGGATGGAATGATAGGCTTACTATTTCTGAGAGATTGCAATAAATCGTAAAAATAGTCGATTTTAATTCCGGAGTATTTTTTTTTATTTTGATATACAGTTATACAGTGTGCAATTATTAGAATTTACATTTTAAACCACAGACATTAAATTCTCACAATTAACGAATTATTTTCAAAACCAGAGTTTAGTTCGCTTCCAGCGTTTGCTAGACTTACCAGCCACAATTATAACGCATTAACCCAAATTGCACTGGGTTTTATTTATTTTTTACACAACGAGCTTTACCCCTTAGACGTAATTACTAATTACCCTTGCATGGCGTAACCAGGGTCTCAGTGGAAATTGCCAATTTGTGATTGAAGTGAACTTCTGCAACCTCGCGCTCTGTCTGCCGAACCAACCGCGTCAAGATGTGGCTGTCGCTCTGGTTTCAGATTTCCCCCCAACGAGCTCAACGGAAATAACAGGTCATTACAGAATCAAAGAGACAGGACCCAAACACCCCTCCCTCCCCCCCCCAAAAAAAAA